AAAACATTTTTTATTACATAACTTTTATTGCTATCACATAGGGGACCACTAGTCCCCTATGTGATAGCATATGATAGAATATATTTGATAGGTTCTCTTTTTGAGACATCCGGGGTCTATTAGACCCTGGATGTTTCCCTTGTACTCCACTGCAGCTGATGGAACACAGATCATATTCCATCAGCTGCTTCCCTGGGCTCCAGATCAGGAATTGACATCATACACGTCACGTCAGGTACATAAAAGCTACTGATCATTCATGCAAAGCCTTGGAGACTTTTTCATATGACATGCACACATCCCCAAGGGTGAGATGTATTTTACTTAAGCAGTGAAGTTTGGTGCACACCAGCTGCAAACAACGGAGAATCTTAATCTTACATTTTTCTACACCCACTGAATGGAGTTTTTTATGGTTAGACATAATTCATAATCATTCCCAATATATGCATTGTCAAGTGAAATAGTTCCAGGGTAATTGAGTGTCTGGAACAACAAAGTCTGCCTTCATTCCATTACCTTTGTTGATTAAGGTACAAATGTGATGAATTTGATTCAGTTTTGTGTCACATTTCTTCCCTTTCCTCAGAAATCATTGCATGCGTCAGAATGGGGCCAAGTTTTAAGCCATTCTTAGGCAGCTGATCATCAGAATGATAGGCAAATCTAACCAAATAAAAATGAATAAAAAAAACACTCACTACTAGACTCCTCAGATGGACCTTAGCCACTGTTATAATCCAAACCTATATAGTAGATCTATTGCCTTAAGCTAAAATTTGCAGCCCATAGCACTATCCAAGGGTACGCAAAAGTATGAATGGTGAAGCAAAACTGAATAGTGCAGATCTAATTATATATATAAAGGACAAGAATAAATAGCATGTATTGTATTTACAAAGACTCCTGAATGCAAAGGCTTAGTTGCCGGCACCAAGATCATGGTCAGGACAAGTATAACTGGAAAAGTCTCTAAGAAATTCTTTTCAGCAGCTGACATTAGGGAGGAACAACCCCTCCTACATCCAAACTTCAGCAGAATACAGCAAAAAAAGAAACCCTTCATCAGAGTGTTAATGAAGGGGTGTTTTCCTGAAACACATCAATGGCCGTGCAGACTCACTCAGGGGCATGCTGTAAAGAAGAGCTTGTTTTTTGTTTGTTTTTTTACTACTTTACTGGTCCAAGGCCCCCATTCACATTTGGCCGATTGGGAATCGGTTTAATTCTGCATGAGATTCCAAATTGGTGCGAAATGTGCAACGCATGTTTGGGTGCCATTTATCCTGAATGGCATTCCAAATACAGTGTTATTTTTTGGCAACACATGTGTAATAAAGCTCCTGGCTCAGAGCTAAGGCCCTGTTCACACCTGGGCATTGCAAAAACGGGGGCAGAAATGAACATTTCTGCAAGCAGGCAGACAATGTGGTAAAAAGTGCAGCACACTTGCAGTTCCATTATTTCTTAATGGCACACCAAACATGGGTTAGCAGGGGCGCATTTTGCTATGCATTTTCTGCATGACAAAAAATGCAAGTCCATTCTTAGGGAACCCCTGCTAAAAATTACCCTATCTACAACTCATGATACATTACTGTGATGGCCAGTGGGAAGAATGCTCCTTTCACTTGTGGTCATTGTGAAGCTTTTACCTTTTACAGATAGTTAAAAAAGATCAATGGTGTCAATGGGAACTTATTTAACCATTTGACGCCCGGCCTATGGCCAAATGGCATCCGTAAAAATGTATTAGCTTTCCGGCACCTGCGCAGTTCACGCACTTGCAGAGCCACGCAGCGGCGCAATCTGTCACCGGCCGTGTACCTCGGACACGGCCGATGACAGATCTGAGTACCGCCCCCGTTGCCGGTACCATGTGACCTGCTGTGACTAATCACAGCAGGTCACATGACAGTTGTATACAATGGATGGCTTCATTCATGCCATCCATTGTATACTAGTGTCTAGCTGTGAATGGTCACAGCTAATCACATGCACATGTCATGTGATTAACTGTGGCCAAATCACAGCTAAGCACAAAAAAAAAAAACCCCTGAATGAATCGATGTCATTCAGGTAAATGCTTGCTTATAGCAAAGTAATTCTTTGCTATAAGCAAATTGTGTAAAAAAAAGAAAACAAATTAAAAAAAAAAAAATATATATATATATAATATATTTTTTTTTCACACTGTCACCAGTCAGTGTCCCTGATCACCGCCATGCCAGTTATACGATGACACTGTACTGCACTGGTGACAGTATGTAAAAAAAAATAGTGAAAATAATTTTTTTTATTTTTTCATTTTCCGAAAAATTATGACAAAAAAAATACAACTTCAAAAAACTTGCCATGCCTCTTATGAAGTACATCAGGCTGTCTACTTTGCAAAAGTCATTTGGGGGATATCTGTACTATTCTGACATTCTTGGACCTCAAGAAATTAGATTGGCTGTCAGTACTTCAGGATTGATCAATATTCAGATCTATACCATAGTTTGTGAACTCTATAACTTTCCTACAAACTAAAAAATACATCCTAATTTGGGTTATTTTCACCAAAGACATGTACCAGAATACATCTCGGCCTAAATTTATGAAGAACAATTATTTATTTGCAAACTTTTACAACAGAAACAAAGAAAAACGTTTTTTTTTTTTTCAAAATTTTCAGTCTTTTTTGTTAATTTTGCAAAAAATAAAAACCCCAGCGATGATTAAATACCACCAAAAGAAAGCTCTAGTTGTGTGAAGAAAATGATAAAATGTTTGTTTGGGTACAATGTTGTATAACTGCGCAATTGTCATTCAAAGTGTGAGAGCGCTGAAACCTGAAAAATGGCCTGGGCAGGAAGGTGTAAAATTGCCCGGTATTGAATTGGTTAAGAGGCAAAAATGAGTACTTGCTCAGGAAACCCTTAGCAACTTCTGGAGGAACCCTGGTTGAGAAACCCTGACTTATGGTATCAAGAGCATCAAAAGCAAGCACTGTAATGTCATACATTTTTAGACTAGAGAGCTAATGGTCATCTCTGGGTACTTTATTTCTAAACGTTGGGTCTTCAAATATACCGTAACTGACAAACTGATTACTAAAAGTGATAGAAACACTATATAATGGATAATCAAGAAGTTAAAGTAAATGGTTGGATTATCCCTAGGTCAGAACCCAAAAGGGAGAGACTTGCTAATATTAAGAGTACAAATTATTTTTTGTTAATAAAAAACACTCCAAAGTCTGCAACTATCTTTCAGTAATGATTTTGCAGTCTGAACTTTATTCAAAGTAGTGTCTTGACATCTTGGGAAAAAAAAGAGCTGAGGATGCCAGGTGTTTTATCAAAACGGATAATGGTATTTTATTGCAAGATGTAGATGGAATGTTATTGTGCAATCAATACATGACATGATTCCATTTCTGGAAAGATGGAAAAAGATGGAAGCAGACATGCCAAGTTTATCCCTTACAATTGAAATATAAATCTTTCAACAAAGCTATACAATATTTAAACAAACAAAAAAATATATATTTTATTTATATGAATATATAATCCTAACTTAACGGAAACATGCTGCTTTGTACTCTGTACCTAATTTGCAGCTTCTTTCTTTCTTTGCTTATAATAAACTTTTTATTTTACCAGAAAACTGATATAATATGCTTAGTATATCAGATTCTCCCTGCTCCAAATTATAAAGGTATACTCCAGCAAAAGCAGAATACATGACTGGTAATGCCCCCTCCCCCTCTTTCCCAGTCTGAATGTTGTTGCACATAGGATTGCAAGAGGCTGATACCCAGTAAAATTCATGTTCTTATACTATTTGCAATGTAAAAAGCTATACAAGTCTGTGTTTTTTACATCTGCCCAAAATTCAGCTTTAACACGCAGGCTTCCCTTAACAGCTGTCTGGTTTTCATGCTGTAGAAAACTGCATTCCCTGTAGGTAAATCCAGTGTAGTATTCTGTCCATTCAGACCTAAGGAGGTAGACCAAAAGAAAACTTGTACTTGTTTTTAAGAAATGTTTAGGCTCATTTCTGGTCTCCTAGTTGTCTTTCTTACTATATTTTAAATATTCCCTGTCACTGATCTGGAAAACCATGCAGCTAGTGAAGTCACACTGAAATCAGAACTTAATAATCTGTTGGGTGTTATTGATTTAGAAAGCACTAAGTCTATTGGATCAGTGTGACAGCTAAGCAACTAGTTTTGCCAGAAAAAGATATAATCAATGGCAGCATTAATTCTCTCTTACAAGTTTCCTGAAATGGACATAAACTAAAGAAGCTGTGCCCCCCAAAAAAGATGAAGACTAGTCACCAATATTGCCCATGGTCTCCCTGCAACCGATATTTTCCTTATTATTGACTTATTGTGCCTTGTTCTGCACAATGTCTCTGTGTGAAAGTGGCCATCTTGTAGAAGCAGAGCTTTGCTTCCTCATGATGACTGGTAATCTGATGAGTGATGGAGGGATAATCAAGCAACAGTAGGAGAGGCTCAGAATGCACAGTCATCTCGGGACTGAGATTGAGCTCTGCAGTCACTTTTGCACCAGTTGTTTTCTTATTCCTTGTCACAATCCTGCACAATGTCCTTTTGTCTCTTTTGGTTAGTTGACCTTGTCGACTGCGCTTATGCTTATCAGCTGATGTTTTCCCAGAAACTGTGTATGACGTAATAACCTATAATACTGTACCTCGTGACACGGCAAATAAATTGGCAACTTCAGTCACAGAGGCACTAGCTAAGTCACAGAGGCACCAACAATTTGCCCTCTTTGAAGCTCAGTAAGCTTTGACATAACTCAGTATTATAATAATAATAATATTTATTTTACATAGCACCTTTAACCATTTCCTGACCGCCCTATAGCAGAACTGCTCCTACAGGGCAGCAGGGCTGTGCAAAATCATATATATATATATGATTATATATATATATATATGATTATATATATATATAAACACAGTATATATATATTTATATATATGATTTTGCATTTCTGGGTAGGGGCATGCACGCGTGCTGCTCTACCAACACCGTCATTGGCGGCTACAGCTGTCGATCACCGGGTCCTGGCTGGAGATTCCCTACCGGCACCCAGAGATCGCCAAGGAACACTGACAGGAGAGAGGTCTGCATGTAAACAGATCTCTCCCCTATCAGCATCAGCATGCTGTTTTGTATTGCTCTGCATAGCAGAGCAAAATAAAGCAGCATGCTTACATAGTAAAACACACACAGCACACATAGTATAAAGCACACAGCACCCAGTTAACTCTTTGATCGCCCCAGATGTTAACCCTTTCCTGCCCCGTGTCATTAGTACAGTGTCAGTGCTTTTTATTAGCACTGATCACTGTATTAGTGTCACAGGGGATGTCAGTGGCAGATAGTCAGTTCCCCCAGTGTCAGAATGCCCGCCACAGTCCCGCTATAAGTCGCTGATTGACACCATTACTAGTATAAAAAAAAAATTCCAGTATATATACCGCCATTTGTAGACACTATAACGTTCATGTAAAACAATTAATTTACATGTATTCGGACTTTTGTTAGCAAAGACATGTAACAGAATACATTTTGGCCTAAATTTATGATGAAATTTAATTTTTACATTTTTTTTTTTAGATTTGATTTGAATGAGTATAGATAAGATAACTCTCTGATGTTCTTTGGAAGTGAGTTCCAGAGTTTTGGAGCATAGGAGAAGAAGGCTCTGTCTCCCACTGAGTGTAGGTGAGTAGGGGGGGACACATAGAAGACCAGAATTTGAGGAGCGGAAGTTACGAGGGGGGGGGATAGTTTTCTAAAATTTCACACAGATAATGGGGTGCCAAGCCATGAAGAGCCTTATAGGTAAGCAAGAGGATTCTAACATCTATGCAAAACCTGATGGGTAGCCAGTGGAAGGATAGGGGTAATATGATCCCTTGTACCAGACCTAGTGAGGATTCTGGCTGCAGAATTTTGTACATATTGTAGTCAGTTAATATTGGATTTAGGTACAGCAGCGAGTAGAACATTGCAATAGTCAAGTCAGGAGAACACAATAGTATGGATCAGGTTTTCAACTACAGTGTGTGATAGCATAGGACGCAGCCCAGCAATGTTTCTCAAGTGGAAAAAAGATGTTCTGACAACATTTTACTAGCTTTACTAACGTATTACTAGCAGTGCATGCAGTGAATGACAAAAGTGAGGCTTCCCACCTGTTAGCTAGGTGTCTCATCACACAGTGGAAGCAAAAGTATGTTACATCACTTTTTACACCTGCAAATCATGTACTGTTTCCATTTTTTGTCTAACCCCTTTTTCTCCCTCCAGCTCTAGTGCTCAGTGGGCTCCTCTGTGAGCCTCTGGGGGCTGATGACCAATTCAGGATGGAGAGTGGTGAGAAGTCAATGTATTTCCATTCACTGACCTCCTCTGTTTACATGGGGGATGTTGTAAGGATCGTGAAAGGCCTGATGCACAATTGGTCACCCATTGAAGTGTAATAATGCAGCATGTAGCATGTTATAGCAAACAGTGAGGTGGTCATGCTGCACTGACAGTGGATTATAGTATAGATGCAGTCAACAATGTTAGTGGGGATAAACAACATCATGCAAAGAGCAATAATATAATAACACATAGAATACAATAATGGCAGCTTGAAAATACTTAATACTTACATAGGTTACCCAGCAAATATGGTAAAGTAGCCCATAGCAACCCATAAAAATTCATCTTTTTATTGCACAGGCTGCTTTCCTAGTGAAAAGTAAAATTTGATTGTCTGAAATAAAATACTTTACTTTGTGCACCATATTTTCTGTTAGTTTTGATTTTTACAATGTGGTTATAGTAAAAAATTCCTAAAAAATCTTAGTAAACATGAAAAACAAAAACAGGAAATTCTCTTATACAATAAAAAAACTTTCTATAAACAAAAAAAAAATGGTAAAAGTTATCACCGTTACTTGTCCTGTTACCAATAGGTACAGTCAACTCTAGACAAAAGTGGTACTTTCTTACAAGTAGTAGAGTTGTCAATAAATGTAGTGGTTTACAGTGCTTCTATTAAAGATAGGTTAGTGCACTCAGTCACTACGAAGTCAAAGAGATGGTACATCCTTCTCAGCAGAAAGGCACGTACAGATGTGGAATATGTCTCTCCTGCCTTTGGATAGAGAAAGGGATCTTAACACATCTGCCAAATGGGAAACAGTATAGATCTAAAAACTATGTGGATTGTCTTACTACTGGGGTGGTATACTTGATGTTCTGTATATGTGAGGCCAATTACGTAGGAAAAACCTAATAACAAGTTTGACGAAGGAAACAAGATCATCTATGTTTGGTGGAGGGTGGGAGGTTATCTATACCAGTTTGCAAATATGTTAATTTAAAGCAAAACCATGAGCCCCTGTCATTGGGGGATGTGTGTGGTTTTAATTCTGTCCCTTTCTTGTCTGCATATGAAGTAACCATGCCTCCTGAATGTTCTTATGCACCATTTTATTGGTTGGTGGATATGGGTTGGACAAGGGATTGGTCTGTCCGGTTGTTTCATCTGACTGATGGCATTCTGGCTGGCTTTGCGTATTTGAGGGGGGAGGCATCTGTGTCACATGTGACATCACATGCCATGCACATGACAACAGCATGACAAGGGTATAAAGGGAGGACGTGGAACACAGGATGTCCATGGGTGATTGCCATCTTTACCCTGCAAAGGGGCAAATAACCTTTACACACTGGTATGCCTGTTATTGGATACAATATGATGCATGTCTTATTGTTTATGTTGCAATTATCAACTTGTGTCTATTTTATTTTAATAAGATGTTTTTCTATGTTTAGCAATTATATTAGTATCTCCTCAACTGGTCCTCAGTTGCTCCTGAACAAGCTTTATGAGAAACACATTGACTTAAGGTTATCCCCCATCCATCAGACCATAGGATATTTGTCTATTGCACATCTCACCAATTAGGCTAGGATTATGTATGGTACGTGACAGTATACTCAGATAGTCATAAGGAGAATCTGCTAAAGAAAAGGTTATACACAATTTTAAGATCATGTTTGTATTTTATAAGATGAAATAAATTCTTTTTAATCAAGTAATGTTTATTAAAGTTGTTTGCAAAAATTTACAAAACAGAGGGAAGTCTGTACAGTAGATTAGAACAACCAAGATAGACACCTTAGCATTGTGGCAGTATACAATGAGGTCTTAAAGCACACATATGGCTCGGCATATAATGGATAAGAGATAAACACATTGTACAGTGGACATAGCATGTCTAACAGTATCTAACGATCACACAGGAGATCCCCTGAGGGGCATGTATCATTTTTTAATGTGAAGCAGAATCTCATTTGTACAAGTAAAGTCAAATTAATCACTGTCTTTTGTTGGATTTTTATCATTCTGGATGTGGTACAGAGGTGGTTGGTCCTTTTTAATTATATTAGAAATGTAAAGAATAAAATAAATAATGAAATAAAAAAGGGTTATTAATGATTTGTGGTCCTATTAACTCAGACCTTTAGAATAGTTAAGTAGCAACACAGCCTTGCATTCAAAAATAGTTCTATTATACAGTCTTCACATAGCTATTTTTGAATCCAAGGCCATTTTACAACTTGATAAATCTGGGACACTGGATTTTTAATTTAAGAAACAATCTTGGAAAAATGGTAGTGATTAAAATTGTAAAATAGCACAGGTGTTCTTGCTGTGTGATCCATCCCTGGGTTCATTTCACCCACAGGGATAGCAGCAGTGCTCATATAATGATCCAGGGAAGTTGTTTTACATTCCTGTAGTACAGGGGCACCAGCACCGTCTGCTTGCTCCGCTGAGAAACAGAGACCTCCAAAGTCCCATCAGTAAGTTGTGCCATATGCAGCTTTCTGTCTATTTACACAAAAACAAATACATGGATATTATTTGTAAATGTATGTCGCCTTATATTCTATTTCATACTTTTCCATGCATTCATTTCAGCTGACCTGAAACATAGAAAGCAAAACAAACCTAGCCATAGCATTTTAAATGTGCTAAAATGGTTAATTACATTTCAGAATTCATGCTTAATAATAAATCTGTTCTTGTACTCACAAGGGACTGTGCAGATTTCTCTCTCACTGATGGACACTTTATCACAGATGGGGAATATGTGAAGCAGGCTCTCATGTGAATTAAAATGTCCATATATATTATAATGACAAACAGGAATCTGCACTGACAATAAAGCGAGCTCACAGCAGGATGTGAATTAGGAGGATCATTTGCAGTCATTAGATCACATGAAAAAGAAAAATATACTTTTTTTTACATAGATATTGCATGATGTATGTTTTAAATATCTTCCTTACTGAATGTTGAATTTGCAAATTTAATTGAATAAGCATAAGTGCTATTTAATTTAATGTTTGCCTCTTCCTACAAAGTCATAGGCTTATCTTCTTCTCTGGAATACTGCAGAAAGCGCAGGCCATCAATCAGTCTCAGAGACTGAGATTTAAAGTTGAGGGCATTTTTATTGTGTTGCGGATATTTGGCTTCAAGTGCTGTAAAATCTTCCTTATTCTAAATGTTTATTTTAATGATTTGTGTCACTGTAGGCATACTGTGATATTTGCAGGCACTTCTTGCTGTGTACTATATTTAAAAAAAATATTTAAATTCTGATCTCTGGGTTCCCCCTATCATCCCCCCATGCCTGCCCCCTCCTCCACATGCTGGCATTGAAGAAAATAAAATGAATGCCATTTGCACTCACCTAAATCTGCTGTCACATGATGCTCCTGTCCTGAGTCTTCTTTCTTCTCTTGTGTATGGGAGATGGGGTCCTTTTTTGAATGTTCACATAACTGCCTGCATGACATGGACACCTCTTTTGGCTGTCCATTGACGTGGTCCTTTCAGAATCCAGAAGAGGAGTCTCAATAGTGATGTCAGCATAAGGGGACTGGCGGGGACTGGCTGGCATAAGCATATTTACATCTCTGGATTACTGCTCCCCTGCACCCATTAATGGAACTGGCAAAGGACCCAGGCTGCAGACTGAGGTAAGTAAAACATGCTTTACAAGGTAAAACAGGAAGAAAAAGTGCTAGATGGATGAGAATGGGTTAATTTTTCGCCTCAGGATGGGTTCAGGGTCATTACAGTCTTTTAAAAAAAATAGCTATTGGTGAGGTGACCATGGTTATGCTTTTTACTGTGCTGTCCTCATGCCTGGGATCTTTGGCACATTACAGTTTAACACGCTTCTTGTTGAAAAGCAACCTGTAGTGACAAAAATATGTGGTGGCCATTGTTCAACCTCTTTATTTTTTCAGCATATTAAGTGCAGCTTTTAGTAAACTGAGTTTGGGAATATTTTTTCAATACCTGTGAATATAACAGCAAGCTATATTGTCAAAACGAACCTCTGTATT